TCACATGCCCGTACCATCGCAATCGTTTTTCCTGTATTTTCTTAACGGTACGACCAACTTCCATCCTTACGCGAACTGTATCATTACAGACATGATCTAGCAGGGTGATACCCAAATCGCAGCATTCTTGTCACCATGACACTAAGCTTGTGTTCTTCATTTCGCGTACTGGGCAAACATTCTGCCATACAGCGTTGTGGGATGGATCATAGTACGGTATATTTGGGATCTGAGTTGCACTGGCATTCGCTTGTCGCATCGAACTCCTGTGAAGGTTCTTCATTTCAACCAGGGTGCGTTTTTCCTTGCAGATATTTCATCTTGAAGACCTCCTTCGCCAGAGATGCAACTTCCTAGGTACTCAAATGTACTCTTCTTGATTGGTCATCGATGTATATGGCTTTTGAAGTTTGACCTCCCACTCCCATATATTCTGTCTTCTTTCTTTTGAGCTTTAAGCCGTACGACCCTAATTGGTCCTTCCATCTCTATGCTTCTTTCTCAAGTTCTTTTCTGTTTTCTGCCATCAACACCATATCGTCTGCATACAGGAGAGCCCAAGGAGCCTGTTTGAGACCTTCCGTCGCTGCATCCATGACTGTGATGAAGTAGAAGAGAGAGCACTGATTTCTGATGCACGCCGGTCTTTATGCGGAATGGTTTTGACTGCCCTGCCGCGGTTTGCACATGGCTCGTAGCTGCGTGATAGATCATTTTTATCCCTTTTATGTATACTTCCGGAACCATGTGCTTTCGCAGTGCCTACCATATGACATCATGAGGTACCTTGTCGATTTCGCCATATCAAGGGAAGCCGCATGCAGCTCTCTTCGTTTTTCTCTACACTTCTCCATCACTATCCGTACAGTGTGGATAGCGTCAGCAGTATCGGCACCCTTTACAAATCCGCACTGATTGGGAGGCAACTCTATGATCGCTCGAAGTCGTGTTTCACTTTCGAAGATCTTTAGAGTGTGGCTCATCAGCCGGATTGGTCGATACGTTGAACAATCTGCGATATCGCCTTTATTTTTCCATATCGGAATCGTTGTGCCGTTTGACCAATCATGGAACATGCTCTTAGCTTTGACCTGGTTGAAAAGGCCTGCAGGCCAAGAGGCACCGAGACATCCGCATTCTTTTCAGAATTCACTTGGTATGTCATCTGGACCAGAAGCCTTGCCGTTTTTTGTTTTTGCTATAGCAAGCCATACTTCCTCTGCTGTCATGAGTGGTACTGGTCCTTTCGCAGGGTCAGCGGTGGAATGGCTGCGCCAATGCGTAGACGACATTTTTTCGAAGTACGTTCGCCATCTCTCAATTATTTCCTGTGGCCTTCTTAACTTTTTTCCAAGCTTATCCTTCACAGGTAGAAGCGTTCCATATCTTCTGCGGACTCTGCCTTCCCTCGCGCTATTCGGTACATATCGCACTCTCCATCACGAGATCCTAATTTCTTATACAGCTCTTCTACGTATGCTTTCTTCGCTTTGACACATGTTTTTGCAGCGTGTTTCATTTCTAGGTACAACTGTCGATCGTTTCCGATTTCGACTTATGCAAATGCTTGTATGCCTGACTCTTTTCGTTAATCACCGTTTGAACCTCATCGTTCCACCACTAAGTTTTTTTGTCGATTCTTCTTCTTCCTGGCTTCGTGTTACCCAGCAAATTCCTTGCTATCCGA